TTACAATGAGACCCAAACATCAATAAACAAAGATTGATATCATAATAATGAACAAAATACAGAAGTAACAGAACCCTCCAATTGTGCACGCCAAATGTATATGCAATCTACAGATATTTTGAATAGGATTTCCTTGCAAAAACAAGAATCCGAGAAAATGAAGCGATGAAAACTGATGAATTCCTACAACCTACTTAATTACACAAGCCGATCACGAGTTCAAGAACCGAAGAACTGAATCACTAACTTCAATCTCCAGTTTCACACATCATCGCACGATCGAAATCCAGATTAATTCACAGATCAAGAGAAAGAGGAAACAGAGCTTACCCAGAATTCTGGAGAGCTGCGCCTGCGATTTGCTCCGAGAAAGATAAATAGTTCGACAGTGCCGATTCCTACTGGAAAGAAGACAGTGGCTGAAATCTGGTGCAGCGGGCATTTCGATGGAGTACGAGAATTATTTATAGCATGGCCGTTGATCTTAATTTATACGGGCAGGATCGATGCCACATAGTACGACCCCACTTGTGGTGTCATGGAAATCACAGGATGGGTTGGCTCCATCCTTTTGAGGTCGGATGTGGGCCGTCCGGCCCAGAAAGAAACCTCTTTACCCTGGGGGGCTCTGTCCCGTTTGATATTAATACCAAAAATCATGGGCCAATGGCCCATGCCCTTATTTCATATTTTCGTTATTTTTTGAACAGTTATCACCATATCAAAAATTACATAATTATATATTCTGATAGTAGAATTACATTCATTTTTAACTACAAGTTTAAGTTCAATTCTTAGTTTTTATGTTTCAAAAAAAAAACCTATATAAAAACATTTTTTTTAGTATAGATTGGACACAAAAAAAAATACAATTCAAATATTGAAATTATCAAAATACTCTTAATAAAACTCTTTTTTTTTTTTGTATTAACCTCATAATATCCGGTAATTACACTGGGTCCCGATAAATCCGGAATCGAATCGCATCGGACCCCATTAGAAGAGAAGCTCTTCTAGCATTTGTTTCTTTATTTATAAAATTCAAACTTAAACTCGAAACCTTATTTAAGGAAAACTAAATTTCTTCCATTCGAACCAACAGGTGGTTGGAAATAAAACTCTCATTCATATTTGTTCATTAATAGTGTTTCAATAATTTTAAGACCCTAAACTGCACTTCTTCTTCTTTTTTTGTATAATTCCTACTAAAAAACACTAGTCTGAAACTATATATATTATCAACTAAGTTATAACTATCGATTTTCATTAAAAAAAAAAAAAAAAGAAGGTTATAAGTGTATATTATTATTATGCAAAAGCCGTCCGGCAACTGTAATATGGAAGAATGTCTTACCTTACGGCTTACACATTAAGGCTTTATATCCACGCATACACATGATTAAGCACAAACCAAGATAAATACAATTGGAAGAGGAGATTATTAACACCAGATATATTTAAGATGAAAGGGGGGGTGGAGAGTCACGCTTGACAACCTCTAGGGGAACTACAATGTTTATGCATGGGAAGTGCACTCATGATAAAACCGCTTCAGAGTTAGACTGGATAACTTTCAATCTACTTCTTTAAGAGTAGATTTGCTTATTTCCGCCAATGTCTTGGATTAGGACGTCAAGATCACAAACTTAAACCAACATACCATTTTTCCTTCCTTTTCTTTCCTTTCTCACTTCTGATTTGTACAAGGACGAAAAACAAATGGAAACACAACGCTAGGTAAGAAAAGATCACAAACTTAAACCAACATACCATTTTCCCTTCCTTTTCTTTCCTTTCTCACTTCTGATTTGTACAAGGACGAAAAACAAATGGAAACAGAACGCTAGGTAAGAACCAAAAGAAAGGGGAAAAAGTGGGGAACCAAAAGAAAGGGGAAAAAGTGGGAAACCAAAAGAGCAATAACCTTAGTTGAGATTAAGAAATAAGAGAAACACAGTAAATAATAATAATAATAATGAGTAAAAATCAAGACATTTAAATGTCAATACTACTTGTGAAATTGTTTAAATACCATAATATTCCTTGTGTTTTGATTCATTAAAAAACACTTCAATTTTTTCATTGTCATTCGTAATATTTTAATTAAGAAGAAATTTTTATTTTTTGCAATTTCAAATAATACCCAGCAACTTCTGCAAAGAGGGATGGGCTGCTTTCAACAAAGTACCAACAAAACAAATTTAATGGCTAAGGAAACGCGAGAGGACAAGAAACAAAAGGAGTATTTGTCACAATGCCTTCACCTCCATTTACCAATCAATTCAAATTCTATAAGTGAAATAAAACAAACAAAACAAGGTATGGAATGCGGGCCTTTTTGGTTGGATATGCAGATAAAGTCACACCCTTCATACTGCTTTTCTCTCCAACATAGATTTATATGGAAGAGCCCTCAGCCCCCAGCCTTCACCGGCTATGGATCCCATGGGTTTAGAACCACAAGACGGGCTTCTTTTTTCGAATGACAGGCACTATGCTCTGCATGGCGAAATCCTGTTGCTTGTTTTTGTACTCGCTTTCATCATCTTCCTTGCATTAATTATCCTTATCCCTTGGCTCAGGCGTGGCAGAAATAGAAGTTCTAGGCCGGAAGCTTCGCTTTCTGTTCCACAGAGGAGCTCACCATGGAGGCAGAGGATTGATTATCATGATAGTGCAACAGAGCAGGAACTGCAGTGCAGGAGGCAAATCAACGATAAATTTCCCCTCTAGAAGTGATTTTAGTTTCATGTTCCTGTACATGGGTAAGTACACCTGAAAGCAAGATATGATATGTCTACCCACCTTGGTTTATTGTTTGTGTAAATTATACCATTCTCCAAAAGTTCTCGTTTTTTTCCACTCATTTTCTCAAGTAGTTTTTAGCTCTTTCAACTTCAATACAATATTCTACAACCAGAATATATTGCAACATTTACCACTGAATTGGCCACAACGGCTTGATCGTACTTGGGAAATAGAGGAGATTCCTGAATCAAAAAACAAGTCTGGCTACAAATATAGAAGTTAATGGAACTGTGAGGTTGTCATCAAGCTTGCTACTAACTGGGAGGGACTCTACAAGGGCAGTTGCAAGAGATACAATCAAGAAACCCAAGACCATTTTCCTGCTTTCTCGAATGTATCCAAAGTATGAAAAATAGTACATAAACCTGTTACAACAATGCTCATCGTAAGAAAAATGCTAGACAGAAGCTTAATAATACTAAGAAAGAGAATCAAGGCAAAACTTACACCAGGGATGTCAAAAAACCAGCTGTTGCCATTGCAATACTACCCACTATAGATTTATTTCTGTTGTAAGGTAGTTTTATAGTCCCAAACCGCCTTCCAACAACATCTGCAAAACCTGAAACGGGGCAGTGCATAAAATTTTATGTCAACACCTATTGACTAGAGTTGCAACTTAGATCATTAAAGCAAGCAGCTTTAAGTTTAGTTAACTATACCATCTCCAGCACACAAGTTGCATATTGCAGCAACTGCTACAGGTGAAGTCCTCCAGTAGACCACACAAGCAAGAGTAATTGTTGCAGCATAGTATAGTGGACCCTTGAGAAGTTCCCTGATGTGTCAAGGACATTAAGTAAATATTGAGATGCCTTAAAGAAATACTGAGTAATCAGCATTCAACAGACGTCTGAAAAGGTAACTAATCTTAGCCTCTGCTTGGTACTGCCATGCCTTATTAACTGCCTGACTTGTAAGGAAACTAAACTTTCAATGTGGAAGCAAGAACTGTATTAAATTCCTAGGTAAACTATTTTCTATCGATGTAACAAAGACACACAAACAAAATTTTTATCCATCTTTTTAACCTGTGGTCTCCATGTCTGCTCATTGACTTCACTGTGCCTTCATCTTTCCATATTCCAAAACCCAAGAGAAGCATTCGTATGATATTAACTCCAGGAACAAGAGCTGCTAAAACTGCTCCACGATACCCTGAACTGTAATGATAGGTAATAACTATTGCATCAAGAGGATATATAATAACACAAACATAAAAAGCCATTTCCATAATGTAATTACCTGAATAATGGCCAGCAAAGCATGAAAACTAGCCCAATACTTATATGCACAAGCTTCCTATTCAGGTTCTGAACAAGAAACAGTGAAATATAAGAAAAACAAGTCCAATCTTTAAGGCCAAAACGCTGTCTTCCATAGCAAAGCAATAAACTAAGCACTAAAACAAAGAAATCTAAACCACTTATCAATCAGAATATAAAGCAGGAAAACATAACCAATGCAGATGGAGAATTGCTCAAGCAGCTTCTGCACAAATCAGACACACATCATAATTCACAGAAACGCATCTGATATGACAATCACGTTCTGACTCTGGTGGCATGGAATTAGAAAACTAAAGATTTTAATTGAATCCAAACACCCATTGCTTTGCAACGGGTGAAAATCAAAACTAAAAACCAAAAATTAACAATTTGCTTACGAGGAATTTAAACATAAGCAAAAATCGTTACAAAATTAGAAAGCAGCGTAACAGTCTTACTGTTTAGTCAGCATTCGGGTTCTAGAAATAAACCACACTCCCAAAATGGAAGGAAAAAAATTGATAAAATTAGTGTGTACAAATCTCGATTTCTGACCTGGTCGACGAGGCGACGTTTGGCGGTCTCTTCCCAGACACGGAGGGAAGAGAGAGCAACGATGCCGGTAAAAGCAGTGGCGAAAACATCGACGACGACCGGATTTTCAGGGAGCATATGGGCAGCGGCAGGCGGGGGCAGATCCCGGCGAGATTTTCGGTTGTTAGTTAGTCGGAAACTAATGGTTTCCCATTTGCTGCGGCGGAGGGAGAGAGAATTTGTGAAGTAAGGGAATGGAGAGTGAGGATCGAATCCGGGAGGCTTCAACTTGAGATTCAGTGGGGAGGAGAAGATGCGCGTTGAAGCCATGGAAAATGGCCAGTGTACCACGTGCGAGGGATGTGGAAACGTTTGATTGGAGGGGGACCAATACTGGATTGGTTTGGGTGTGCGGACCCGATGTTACAAATTGTAGGAGTAAAAAAATCGAAGCACGTACAACATATTAATTGGCTGGCCGTTGGATGTATGTTACAAATTGTACGAGTGAAAAGTAAAAAATAATATATGTTAACTAAAATTTTCAATTTAAATTTTATAAATAAAAAAATGATAAGGGTTTTTTTTATGAGTTTTAACTATTTGAGATTTAATGTGATTTACAAACAGCAAAAGGTAAGTATCAAAAGAAAAAGAAAAATAAAAGCAAGTATATATATAATATATGAGCGACGAGGGTTGGATCAAGTGATAAGTGGTTTGTTTTAATTTAAGTAAAATCTTGAGTTCGAGATCTTGTATACGCAGCAGCTTTTATTAGGAGATTCACCAACCATTTTTATGTGCGCGACGCGGATCGATCTGGATTAATCAAGATAAAATCTTAGATACCGGGAAACCAAAAAATATATATATCCATTTTGATTTTTTTTTAAATTAAAATTTTATAATTAAATCATATCAATTTATTTAATTAAAATTTAATTTAAAACTTCAATAAATATTGTAGTTAGACTCGAACTCAAAATTTAGCAATTAATTTGTATTCTAACATAATCTTTTTTTTTTTTTTCTTATCAACCAAAATTAGTTTGTATTCCAACCTAATCTATTTTAAAAAAAGATAAATTAGTTGAGATAAAAAAAATTTAATAGAAAGTCTTTCATCAACCATACCTTAAATAGCCAAAGTAAGGAGAACAGCTGATATGAGTCCAATTAAATATTGGTTCAAGTTGTCATTCTCTTTGAACAAGAGCAAATTTCAATAAAAATATCGAATTAAGGCCAAATCTAGCTCTTAAAAAAAAAAAAGCCCTCACAACATAAAAAGAACTCTTATTTTTAACTATGTATCCCTAATTGCCAAGAGAGAGAAAAGCTTAAGATAATGAAGGGAGAGAAAAGGAAAAAGGAGTCTTCCAATTAAATTAAGATATTGAGATATTGATTCCCTAGTTTAAACCAATAGAAAAACAAATTCTCTCATTTAATTTGCCTAATTATATATGTAGAAGTCACCCTGGAATCCCTCCCATATATTTTTCCCCAAAACTCATTTGCAGCATATGCATTTGAGACTTACTGCCATTGATGGACCTTGTACTTACTATACTGCCTTTCATATTCGCCCCTGATTAAAAAGCTTTAGCATTTTGCATTAATTTACTAGTTTTTTTTTTTTTTTTTTTTTTTTTTTTGTCTTTCTTTCAAACTTCACCTCGTGGGGAAATTTTTTCTTTTTTCTTTTTTTTAAAAAACATGGTTAGAAAAAAAGTATTGTACAAAAAATTAAAAATGATTGTATGAAAAATTAGTAAATTTTATAATGAAATTTTATTAAAATGTTAATTTTTACATATTTGGTAAAAAGTTGTATATTAGGAAAATTGAAGGAAAATATATCAAGTGCATCCTGCTCCCACAATAGGAAAGTTGGGAGAAATTTTTTTCCATTTAAAAATGTGGACAGAAGAGTATATTTATTAGTAATTGTATCACAAGAAATAAAAATTAAAAATATTAGCTTTACTCTTTATTTATTACAATAATGTTGAAGTATTAAAATATTACGATGCCCTTACACTACCTTATTAGTGTTGAGAGACAGTGATAGAGTGATAGGGGATGTTGCAAAAGAGTGCTACTTGCGTTTGACCTTGCAACATAATATGCCTGGATATATCGAAAATGATAGTTGCAATAATATGCAATATTGTAAACTTTATAATATGATATATTTTATATAATTAAATTTGTTAATTTAAAATTTTATTTGTGATATTATATGTATTTACCTAATTAATAACATATCACATTTATTTAATATCATATTATAATTACATATTTATAATTTTATATAGTATTATAATTATAACATTACTATTAATATATAAAAGTTTGTTATCACCTAAAAGTGGATTAAGTCATATATATTATTAACTCATATGCTTGAAACCCAGGCCCAATGATTAATACCAAATGCCAAGTAATTGTAATCTTGTAATTTAGGTTTTTTTTTTTTTAATAATGTCTTGTGAGTTTAGGTTAAAATTCAAGTTTTTCAGTTAATATTTATAAAATTAAAATTAATTTTTGTAAATGCACTAAACCAATATAGAAATGTAATAAAGAAAAATTAGTTTTGAGATGCAGACTAAATAATTAAGAATATCTTGACCATTAAAAAAACAAAAAAAAAACTCAAAATTAAAACTTTTTATAAGGCAAAAACTTCATTGTTGGTTTGTGTTTCTCTTTATTTTTTCAAATATCACATTCACATCCCCATATGATGTGAGGTCCGACTTTGCATGTGGTAATCATAGGGTTAATTAGGTTCACTGATAGCTAGTATTGTTAAATGGTGCAAACGACTTAAATAATTTAGTGATAATCTCTTTATGCTAAAAGTAAGAGATTCTGAATTCGAGTCGTATAACATACGGGTGGAGTGAAATAAGAAATAAAAAAAAGTTGTTTCTTGTTGTATAAACAATTATAAAATAAACAAGTATTGTTAAATGGTAATTTACACATTTTTTGGTTGCTGTTTTTGCTGATGACACCATGAATCCAATTTAAGTCAATGATGAGTTGTGCGGTAATTATAAATTTTTTTTTTGTCTCTTATTGTTCGAAAAATAGATAATATTAATAAAAATTTATAAAAAATTATAAAAAAAATAATTAAATTAATTAAAATTATAATTAAATTAATTAAAATTTTATAATCTTAAATAAGATATTGGGTAAAAAATGTTCATGCAAAGCACATAAAAAAAAGCCCTATTAAGGATAGAAATGTAAGAATGACGTGGTGTTTATCCTGGTGAAAATCGATTTTACAGTTTTACCCTTATAAGACACCATTTAACTGGTAAACCTCCAGTAACATTGTAATTTCGAAGATATAATAGGGGTTGATGTGGAAGATAGATAACTGGGGACAACTTGGTCAGTTGGAGTGCAAAGACCAGAACACCCAAATCCAAAATTAGCGATTAAGCCCTCTAACTTGCTGTTTATATTCTCCGTGGCTATTTTTGGAAAGTGGAAACAACATGTTTATCCTATCTGCAAAATGGATTTATAGACTAAAATAAAAAACCAAAAAAAAAAAAAAAAGAGAAAAAAAATACTCATTTACCTTACTTTTAAAAAATTAAAAGAAAAATTATTTTAAAATTATATTATTTTAATACTAATGACTTATTGGTTTAAATATAATGATTTCAATTTTTTTTAAATAAAATCTTAAATTCGAA